TACATAAAGTGCACAGGAAATCTACTGTACCATCAAGCAGTGTCTTACACGACCCGACATACTTGCAAAGACTGGTTATTTATGAAAATTAACATAACAGAAATATAAAAAATGTATTAGGACATTTAATAAAATTAAACATTAACCCTTAAAGTGCGCTTCACGTCATATGACGTATATGGGTACCGCGCACGATTTGAATGTCCCGCGGTGTAGCTGGGGTTCCCGGGGCTATAGTAAACAGCGGCCATTTTGAAAAAAATTCCCGCTCACGAACCGAAGGTGTAGGAGGCATCAGTTTAGCGAGAGTCACCATGGCGAGCGCACGGTCAAACGCCTCTCGGGCACGCACCACTCAATCCCTCACCCCAGAGCAAATATTCGAATACACGAATTATTCTCTGAAGGTGAAGAAAGTGTGTTTGATGATTCAGACAACGATGAGGATTATACATAGTTGTCGGCTGATAGTAGCAGCAGCAGTGAGAGTGACAATGACCGCCATGCCATGGCGAGGCCTCTACGCTCACCCATGCCTCCTCGGCCAGTTTCTACCCCAATTCTACCACGACCTCACAGTTCCTGTGGATATTTACTGTTTGAGGGTGACGAGTCCTCTGACTCGTCACCCTCAAAGGGTGAGGTGACTCAGGAGTCACCTCAAAAGGAGGCGACTCCTTTTCTGGGTTTAGTGACTCAGATCATAGTTTTATTGAGCCTGTGACTGGTACCAGTGGTGTAACTGGGCGAGAAATTGTCGCGTCAGCAGCATCTCGCCCAGCCAAGCGCCACCGCATGGCACCACATGAGGGACCAAGACCCTCGTGTTCACGTGCATCCACCTCACGTGCACCCACCTCACGTGCACCCACCTCACGTGCACCCACCTCACGTGCACCCACCTCACGTGCGCCCACCTCACGTGCGCCCACCTCACGTGCGCCCACCTCACGTGCACGTAGCCGCTGTGCTTCTCGCAGACGGTATTCAGTTCCTGGTCGCCGGTATGCATCGCTTCCTCGCCGTCTTTCCTCTGCATCTCGCAGGACGCCTGGTGTACTTGTGTGGAGTGATGGTGACGATTTTATTCCTAATATTCCTCACTTTGACGAGAAAGATGTAGGGATTACCAACCTTTTCCCTAATCAAGGTGAGGATATGGCTGAGATGGAATATTTTACAGCATTCTATGATGAACAACTCATGGAATATATTGTGCACCAAACGAACCTGCATGCTGCTTACCTGATTGAGAGGCAAATCACAGAATTTTCACGACTGCAGAGTTGGAAAAATACCACAGTTGCGGAAATGTATGTGTTTTTGGCACTCTGTTTGTTGATGAAGCACTGTCACAAACATGCAATAAGTGACTATTGGAGCAAGGAGCATACAGTGCCAACACCTTTATTCGGGAAATATATGTCACGAGACAGGTTTCAGATACTCCTTAGGTGTCTACATTTTGGAAGTGTTCAGGACCGAACAGATGATGATAGACTGTGGCAAGTGAGGCACTACTTGAACGATGTTATTGGAAAATTCAGAGATTTTTATGTACCAGCACAGAAGCTGGTGGTTGATGAATCTCTCGTACTTTTCAAGGGACGTGTTCCATTCAAGCAGTACATTCCCTCAAAATGAAACCGATTTGGCCTGAAATTTTTTGTTCTTTGTGATTGTGAGACAGGATACGTGTTAAACATGATTCTGTACTCGGCTAGTGATGTAGACATTCCTGGTAACGACGAACATGGATTCTCAGGGAGTGTAGTGAAGTCCATAATGGCTCCGTGGATGAACAAGAGACACATTTTATACACGGATAATTACTATACAAGTCCCTTGCTAGCTCGGTTCTTGCTAGAAAATAGAACTGGATTGGTTGGTACAGTAAAGCCACAACGAAGGGAAATGCCTGTGTTTGACAACGACATTGCAGTTGGTGAGTGTCAGAGAAGGAAAAGTGATAACATTCTGTCAGTTCGGTGGAAAGACAAAAGAGAGGTGAACTTGTTGACAACAATTCATGATGGAACAATGGTGAACAGTTGGAAAGTGAACCATAAAACAAACGCACCACTGTATAAGCCAGACTGTATTTTAGACTATAATATCAACATGCGGTTGATTGATAAATCAGACATGATGATTGGCACTGCAGAGTGTGTGCGGAAAACATGTAGTTGGACGAAAAAAGTGTTCTTCCATCTTGTGGACATGAGCATGCTGAACTGTTTCAACATGTACCTTGTGAGAACTGGACGTAAGCCCACTTTTCGTGCCTTTGTGTTTGATGCTGCAATACAGTTATTAGGAAAGTTTGCAAAAGATGTCCCAGGGATTCAGCGGCCCATAATAAACCCACTGTTGCAGCATGCTGGTACTCCACGCCTCGCTCACACTGAAGCCTTCCTAGCACACAGACTCAAGTACTGTATTTGCCACCAGCTGGGAAGCGTGCAATAGCTCAACGTGATTGCTTGGTGTGTAAAAAACGACACGTAGAGATCAGAAACAGAAGCTTGTGCAAACATGGTGTGAAACGTGTGGTATCCCATTATGTGCTGTCGACTGCTTCAATGACTACCACAGTCTAGAAAACTTCTAAGTGTGCTTCAAAGTGTGTATAGCGTGTGCGTGTGTGTAAATATCTAAACATATAAGCAGATAGCGTGTGTGTGTAAATATCTAAAAATATAAGCAGAACATACAATAGACTGTAATGACATTATATTGCCGTAATTGAAAACATTTGTGTGCGCCTGTGTATACTCAAATATGCAACAATTATTGATTTAAAATATGTTCAAACTTTATATGGAACACAATTAGTAAAAATAATTTGGATAAAATGCGCCTAGACATTGTAAATAAATAGCGCGAAAATATATTTGTGGCAACTATGGCTGCTTGAGGACCGCGCGCAATGCCTCTGGGGCATGTACTGCATGAGCGAAAATGCAGATTGTGACGTCATCGCTGATCTTCTCGGCTCTATTGCAACAAAAGTAAGTACAATAGAATTTTTTTTTTTTTCCGTGACCAGTGAACACAACGTCAACTTAACAATTACACTGCTCAGGGGTCCTGGGGACATTTACACCCCTGTGTGCAAGAAAAAAATAATTCAAAATTTTTTTTTTGTCTTTTAAACATGTTAATTTGTTTCCCCTGAGCACGGGGAAAAAAAAAAATCGTAGGTGACATATTTTGGGCGCAATTGACCGAGGAAGTCTGGCAAAAAGTGGGCGTTGACAGAGCGGTCGTCAGACCCGGTCAGCGTCACCTGCGCTGACAGGTGGGAGTTGCCACAAAGATATTATTACCTAATTGTTTCAATGTCTCCGATTGATTTTTTCTTAGTTTTTTTTTGCAGTAATATTATTCAATAGTGTGTATTGTAATATATTTATACAGTATAATAAAAGTGGTGAATAATCACTATACTCAAAAGTATGATGTGCATATTAGTGATTCAATTATTATGTTTATAAAACAATAAATAAATAGTTTTGCTGCTATTACACTCTATACACAGGTTATATATAAGTATCTGCATGTTTTGGTCACCATAACGAACCACTAAGTTGGTATCGAGAGTTGAAAAGCAACGAGGAGTTACTGCCACACACCAGCCAGCCACTCGCTGCCACTCCCTCAACACACGTACTAAACTTTCTTCCCCAACAATACCATTTGTGGTGTTATTACACTATATACAGACGTTATATATAAGTATGTATATATTTTGTTCACCACAACTGTACAGCTAAGCTGATATACCTGTAGTTAGTTTAGGCACTAAGAGTCGTCACTATACACAGATGGCGGCTGGTGGCTCCCTCACTCATTCAAGGTCACACGCACTAAACTTTCTCCCCCAACAATACTGTTTGCAGTGTTATTACCCTATATACACATATTATATATAAGTACAGTATCTACATGTTTTATACACCGTAACTGTACACCTAAGCTTGTAGTGCACCCAAAGAGCATAGTGGCCACCCTCTAAACAGCTAGACAAATCGTGCAGACGATGTCACCTCCGTCACCCATATGGCTCCTCCCAGCATAATCCTCTTGCTGTTATTACACTAATACACACATTATAAATAAGTATCTACATTTGTGTTCACCATAGAGAACCACTGACCTGGTATGGTGAATGCAAACAGTAACAGGTAGCCACACAGTCGGTAAACGATGCTGTCTCCCTCCGTCTCTCAGCATCACTCCTCCCACAGCGCTAATTATTACAACAATCCTGCTATTATCACAACCCTGGTTATTTATATCACAGTCATGGATCATCTGTAATATTGTCATCGCTAAATAATAACAATTACAGTATATATTTATTTTTACATTTTTCGGCGATGCTGTGGTCACAAGCTGAACAGCAATGCTGTTCGCTCATGCTGCGTGCGCCAGCCTTGGTTGCTCCAACAGTACTGTGCCTCTCACACTTGAGAATATTGCCCACGATTTTGTTTAAAAATGGCGTCTGTTTACAAGAGCCCTGAGGAAGCTACTGTGAACCCCATATAGCCGCGGGCCATTTGAATCGGGCCTGGCACCCTATGGCATATATATACGCCATGCGCAGTTTAAGGGTTAACAGATTAGCAAAAATATTTTTTTTTTTTCAAAATGGCATGCGCCTGTGGGGAACAAAGGATATTATACCCCGAGCATGTTAAGGGTTAATAAAAGTAAAAGGTGGACATTACACAGGGAGGCACCTACCAGAAAGAGGCATGTTATAACATTCAATGTTGGACTTTTCACTGGGTCATCTGTAAAGAGCAGGTTTTTTCTTAACCAAAATGTAATCAAAATGCAAATTTAAAACTTAATTTCTTCGTTGCATTTTTGACTGTTAGTAGGGAAAAGGCCAAAAAAGTTATATAGTTGCTATTGAAACTAATTAAAGAATACTGTATTTTAACCCAGTCAATTATTGCCACAATATCATACTGATTTTTTTTTTCTAGGCTGGCGTAATACAATTGACACCAGATGTTGTGAGCAGGTATCCAGTCAAATTATCTACAAGCCCGCACGAAAAAAACTGCTATGGAGGGGCAGAATCAACAACTGTGTCTGTTGGAGTGAGAGTTCGTCCAATTAGCACAAGGTAGCTTGTTTAATCTTGTTGATGTTGCTTCTTTCCATCGGAGGGAGTCCCTTGTGGCTCCCTGAAGCTACCATCTCTGATGTAGATGCAAACTACTAGTTGGTGTCAGTCAGGGAATACTCTGGCCTACTTGGGACCCAGAGTCAGAACTTTGTGCCCCTCATAGAGGCAAAGGGAGCTGTGCCATTTATTTATTAAGTTGTCCATTTAAGCCACCACTGAGAAAGACACTCGGAAAATCAGCGAGTCAAAACAAACCAGACCTGGCTGCCTCTGAGACCTGCAGACTCAAAAACGGCCATAGAACTCCACAAACTAGGTAAATAAATGGATGAATATGTTATAAACCAGCACTCACTTGTTTGCCCCCACCCTCCCCTCATTTGGGGGCAGACCATGGCTCACAGGCCACTCAACTGTCAGTTCTCCTCTGATGCGTGCCAGGATCACCACTGTTGCTCTGGCCCCAGTGTTTCCTTGGTAGCTGTTCCTTGCACTGTGGTGCATGTGGGCCAGAGGTTCAGTCCAATTGGAGCTGCACGTGTTTAGGGTTTGCTTCCCTGAGCACTCCCAAGTGCATCCCTTGTGCTGCCAAAGTTTTCTTCCTTCGAGTGTTCAGGGGATGTTCCTTTCGGGTAATGGTTCCGGTTCCGGGGACATTTCGAGGTGCCTTGATTGTATCTTGATGGGGTTCTGGGAGGAGTTCTACTCCCTGAACCCCATCAAGGTACAATCAAAGAATCAAAAAATGAAGGCCACTTGCTTGAAGTAGCCTTCATGTTAGGTAAGTCTGGGATTTTTGAGCTTCCATCTTTCCCCTGGTTGGAGCATCTTGGCTGGTGGGGTGCACAGAGTTGCACGCCATCTTAGCATCTTAGCCAGGCTGGGTTACTTTACATAGCACTTTGTGAGAATACCTGCATAGCTTCCCAGTGCCTGGGTGTCATGTTTGGATTGTCATCTTCAGTCCCTGTTAATCCCCTGTGGGTTAGGGAGAGTCTGGGGTGCCTCTTACCCCCACCCTCACTCTTTTTGCGAGATGAGGGTTGTTTGTCATCTGTGCCATGGAGCGACACATTCTGCCTGCCTCTGTAGGCAGGCAGAATAAGTTGGAACTGTAAACCTGTTGGATTAGTGATGCTTTCGAATCAGTCATGTGGGTTGGGTTCCCATCATGTTACTCTTTATTAGTCCTCATGTTGATGATCGGGCTTATCAGGCGAAGACTGTTTTTTGGCTCTTCAGTGGTCTGGGTTGTGTCCAATTTGTTGCCCCATTGATTGTAGTGACCTGACTAAGAAGGTGTTGATCACTTTGCCCTTGGCTTTGTCTACACCTCCTCTTCCTTCCTTGTTGTGCATAGTTCGCTCTTTTGCTCGTTCTCCCCTTGTGTTTCCGGCCTCGAAGTGTCTGAGAGTTTCAGGGTCAGGATGGGGATTACTTCTGGTTGTGGCTTGGGCGGCTCTGGGGGTTGCCCCTTCTGATTCAGATGTGGAGGCAGTTGAGCCTTTTAGTCCTATTAAGCCTTCTTACCAGCTGGCTCGTTTTCTTGAAAGTTCAATGTCCACAGTGGGGATGGACATTGGCTCTGCCCCAGTACCCTCTTCTGCAGTTCTGGGGCCTGAGGCCTGTGGGAGGGGGGGAGTCGACCTTGGGGAGGTGGTTCCCTTTTGATCCTTGTGTGTCCTAGCGTCTTCTGCGGAGGGTCTTCTATTGCAGAGAGTGGGATTTTCATACCTTCCTCTTTGAATGGATTGGATTTGCATGTGACTACCCGTTGGGTTCGCTTTCAGGTAGCCTTGGGTATACTGGGAGTGTCCTTCCTCGTGGGTTCTCTCTTTGGGGGTTCATGGGGCATTTCACTTTCCTCTGGCGTCTCTTGGTTATAACTTGCCAATGGCCCTGGCCTCTCTTGAGTTCAGATCTTCTCCCCCTATGGGTGCAATGTGAAGTTCTAGTGTCTTCCTGTATAGTGGACCTTCCTCTTGTTTTCTCATAAAACCTGGCACATTTTGCCAGACCTGCTCACTAGAGTGGTGTGAGGTTGTGGGCATGTTTCAGATGAATTTTGGGGCCTCTATTTTGAGCCCCTTCATGCTTGCCAATTTGCCCTACTCTTCTCTTGGTTGTTGGGACATTTCAGTTTCTTGTGCAGGTTCTGTTGCACAAGAACGGTCGAAGTTGGTTGTGGCAGATGACTGGCACAACTGCCGACAATTGGGCTGTCATGTGTTTTCTGGGTCTTGAGCGGCTTCCTGTTTGGCTCGTGGACATCGTGGGTGCGCTCGAGAGTAATCCTCTTGCTGGGTTTTGAGACTGCACTGACAATGCCTTGGCATTGTTGGTGGGTCTTTTGAAGTTGTATGCTCTTCTGCAGAATGCTCTGGCCACAGTCTTCTCTGCGTTGTTCTCCTGACAGCTGGTGTGCCATTCTTTTTGCTTCTCCTTCCCTCTTCCTGGAAGGATGTGTTGGCTCGGTTCTAGTCATTTGCTTCTGCTCCCTGTCATCCTCTTCAGGCCCTTTTTGACTTTGATGGGGCTGTTCTCGTTTTTCAAGGTGGTCTGGGCGTAGAGGCTGCGCCTGGTGATGGGCCATCTATGGAGCCAGTGGCCCGCTTGTGAGTGCCTCACATGGCTGCTTTGACTGCATCATGTCGGCACCATGCTAGCTCTACTTGCAAGGTGGCATCTCTGGGTTTGCACCAGCTCTTTCATGATTTGCCCTGTTGATGGAGTGGTGTGGAGGCATCTTGCCTGGTCCCATGGTTTGTAGGCTATTTGGGTCATTTCTGTTGACCTTTGGTGGAGTCAACCCGTTCTCGCAAATTCGTATAGTCAATATTGACTTATTAACTACGTGCATAGGTGATATACTAAACATAATAGATACCCTTAAAAAGCTTCATAGAAAACACCGACCTTACCTAACCTAGTTAGTATGTTAAGATAAGCATCTTATTGCTTCGTAATTACATTTATTACTTAACCTATACCTATAATAGGTTAAGTAACAATTGTAATTACGAAGCTATAAGATGCTTATCTTAAGATACTAACAAGGTTAGGTAAGGTCAGTGTTTTCTATGAAGCTTTTTAAGGGTATCTATTATGTTTAGTATGTCACCTATGCACGTAGTTAATAAGTCAATATTGACTATACGAATTTGCGAGAACGGTTTGCGTGGAGTTGATCATCCCTTGTGAGGGGGTTTGGGTCTGTCTGGACAGGCTTCCTTCCCATGTCTCCGTTGGGTCAATTTTAGTTCATTCTCAACCTCGCGTGGTTGAATTGGTTTCTTCCTTGTCCCTCTTTCCCAAGACTGCCTTGTCCCAGGTTCATCTTTCTCTTGAGCCGGGGGGGCCTGTGTGCTTCCTTGAACCTCTGGAATGCTTCGTGGCATGTCCCTATCCATCTGCAGTTAAGGGATTGGTGTAACGGGGGTTATGGAAAATAATGTGTAAGGGTGCACAAGCTTCTATGCCGTATACTGTACTGGAGTACAAGCTATCGAAATCCGTCCTTTACTTCTTCATTTGTGGTATATGTAAGTTACTTTAAATCAGAAATACGTACAGAACGAAGATTTTATAAAGAAACACCTCAATCATTAAACAAGCGTGCATTACATTCATTAAAAGATTCAGGGAATGGGACAATATACAACAGTAAGTAATTTCACTCACCAGACTGACTAGAGTACTCCAGTCACACTAAGGAAAAAAAAGGTTAAATTACTTCACACAGTGAGGTCGGCACCTCATAAGCGCACATCACACACTCTCAGTAAGGTGTGTCTAACCACACCTTACCACACACCCTACTGAAGGTGTGTGGTCTAGCCAATGTCTAGCCACTCTCTCTCTTTTGTGGGGTATAGGATGATATCCCTCACGATACGCAGGAAAAACTTTACACGCACAAGGTCTAAATGCTTATTAAAGCTAACTTTATCATACCTGCAAACACTTACAAATGAAACATAAAAATTAAAAAAATTAAAACACTTAAAACAAATTAGGGAAGCATTTAGATAAGTGATAACAAGAGCTAGGTTTTATATACTAATTATCACTAGTCGTCACCGGGCAGGCGTGCGGTCAACTTAGGGGTCATGTACCAAGCGTGCAGGCGAGCATGCGGGTAAGCGCGCAGTGACACCTAAATGTGTATACTCGTTTCAGCTTTCTCACCTTAATTCTCGTGCTACGTCGCTCATTTTGGTATCATTGTGTTCACAATTAAATTCCCTACAGGTGTGTATAAATATAATGTCCAACAGCCTGGCGTGACTCCCAACAGCAAAGCCTAAAATTGGCAAAAGTTACCCGCGAGCGCACAAAATCGGTAAAATGTGCTTACTCGTTCCATTTTTCTCACCTTAATTCTCGTGCTACGTTGCTCATTTTGGTATCATTGTGTTCGCAATTAAATTCCCTACAGATGTGTATGAATATAATGTACAAAAGTTTTGAGTGCCTCCCTGCAGAAAAGCCTAAAGTTACCCGTGAACGAGCACCAATTTGTACACTGCAACCTGATGTGTATACTCGTTCAGTTTGATAACATTAATTTTCGTGTTACTCTTTCATTTTGGGATCAAATTGTTCGCAAAAAAAAAAGGCGCATATTTTAAAACTAGTCCCATAATAATAGAGCAATAACTGGAATTTTAACAAATATTTTAATTCTGGAAGCTCATCATCACAAAATTATTTATATCTTTCCAGTGTTCTGACATAAATTCTTGTGTTACATCTTTCATTCTGGTATCAAATTGTTCGTGACGTAAAGGTGCGCATTTTATAACTAGTCCCAACAGTAGCACAATAAATAGATTTTTAACAAATATTTTAAAATTTTGACCAAAAACTATTTGTAATCATATAAGTATTCGGACATCAAATTTCATGTTACATCTTTCATTTTGGTATCAAATTGTGCGCATTCTAAAGGCGCTTATTTTGATACTATTCCTAGGTCGATTGGATAAAAAAATGAATTTTATACAAATATTTTTTGTAGTGGACGCAAGTCCGGTCCAAAGTTAGGATTCAAGAGAAAAATAATGGACGCGAGTCCGGTTCAGAGTTACAGATAGTGTTAATTAAACAATAAAAGCTAGACCTGATATATCAAGTCCAAACCAACATTAGGTTTGGATTGTGGTGGGGCCTCAGGCTTAATGCTTCTGGGTTCTCCTGTTTGGCCTGCACCTGGCCTGTGTTAGCTGCTGTGTTACCAGCTTTCTCATTTGCCTTTAAGGGTTTCAATCCCCTGGTGCCTTCCTCCACCTGCACTCAACGTTTTTAGGGACGCCTCGGCTGTTGGCCTGGGTTTTGCCACCAGCGATCATCAGGCTGGCCAGGGGTGATGATCTTCCCTTTCTTGCCAAGCGCACAGCACTGTGCGGTAGGTTGCAGCCGTGGAGCATACGCTGTGGAGGATATGGATTTCTCGGGACTCGGTTGTCCAGCTCCATTCGTACTGTTTCCCTGTGGTTCATTGTCTCAGCCTGGTCGAGGACTGGGCCATGGGATAGTTGAGCCCGAAAATCATCTCGAGGTAACCCTAGGGATCTTGATTCAGTTCTGACCTTTTTTGGAGCTGGGTGCTGCTTGTAGCTCTTCTTCTGAGTTGTCAGGGTTTGGCTCTCCGTGCCATTTATCTCCTGGTGTGTGTGTTCTTTCCAGTGGTCTGTCCCAGTTCCATTCTGTCTCCACAGAGTATACCGTCAACAGCCGCCTCCCTCTGGCTATCCAAGTCGTTCAACCATATGTATATATTGTCGATTTATGTATACAAAATATACATTTTATATATATATATATATATATATATATATATATATATATATATATATATATATATATATATATATATATATATATATATATATATATATTTTATTTATTTATTTATTTATTATTTATTTATTTATTTATTTATTTATTTTATTTATTTTATTTATTTATTTATTTTGGTAGCAGTCTTTCCTGTAGACATATATTATTAAATATGACCGAAAAAGTAAGATTAATAATTCTAACACGAATTTTCTCAATGTTTCTTATATTTTTTTTCACTGTTGATGGTAACTGAAAAATCAATTCTCCAAAATTCATTTTTATTTCTAGTCTGACGCGACACTTGAGCGCGTTTCGTAAAACTTATTACATTTTCAAAGGCTTTAGTTTACACACACATAACTATAACTGAACAGAGTTTAAACAGCTTCGATTTTATACCTGCATTTGGGTGAGGTGATATGCTACAACAGTTTTGGATGAGGTGAAAACAAACTTTCAACACAAGACAGAACACGAAACAATGGGTATAATATTTTGTAAGTTAAAGGGAAGAATGGAAGTAACTGCAAAGGGCCTATTGGCCCATATTTCTTGATGCTTCTATATTGGTGCGGAGTCTTGAAGTGGGTAGAATATAGTTGTTCATTAATTGGCTGTCGATTGCTGGTGTCGACTTCTTAATGTCTAGTGCCTCGCAGATATCAAGCCGCCTTTTATCGCTGTATCTATCGATGATTTCTGTGTTTTTTGTTAAGACTTCTCTGGTGATGGTCTGGTTGTGGGAAGAGATTATATGTTCCATAACCACCGTGCTGTGCGGAGTTTATTGAGAAATTCCCGCGGTGCGCATGAAATGAAGTGTTCCAAAAAATTCTTTTTTCTTCGTAAACTGATAAATTCCCTTCCCTGAACATGTCTATATAAAAATAAGTACCAAATTCCACTTATTTTGGCTGTAGGGACATGGACAAGATGTGCTGTGACGTCATCAGGGCCTGGTCGCCCGTGCTTGACTCGCCCAGACACGGTCGCGCGGGCCATTCAAGCACCGGGTGTTGCCACAAATATATATTTCAATTATTTGTTTTATGTATTTCCAATGCGGTTTTATTTGTTTTTTTATCGTATATGATGCATATTTGTGTCCTTTACAATATGTATACAGTAGAACGTTCATAATGTTCCATGGAACTGTGATAGATGTGTCAGTAATGTGTCCACAATAAATGTTTATTGTCGCAATATTACCTCCTAAAAATTCACTAAAATTACAATATGTACAGTTTCACACACTATTTACACAGTAACACTGTATTACACACTCAGTACTTCGGAAGTGAGTAATAATCAACGAAATAGCCCATGGTACACAGCGCGACTTCGCTCTCAATGCACCAGGTACAGTTAAATTTTCGCTTCCTGTTTCTTCATTCTGAGTGTTTGCAAATAACGCACTCACGTACACCCTTGGCTTTAGAACTTGTAGGTTGTATGTAACCAAGCTTGAAAAGCATAAGGTAGTATTGAAAAGATTATAGGAAAAGATCAATTTGTAAGGTAGTCTTGAAAAGATCGCTTTGTATGGTCCCACACAGGAAGAGATTCAGCTCACCCAGAAAATGGCGTTTCATTACATTCAACGCTGGTTTTTTCATTGCACTACCTGACTTGACGTGCCTGACTGACTTAGGCTTACATTAGTTCCAGAAGGCTTTTCGAGTTCTGAATAATTTTTCCCATGAGGTGTGGTGTGTGTATATTTCACTTGTTTATATTTTTTCCTAAGATTGAAATAAGCATTAAGAGTGTACATTTTTTGCAGAGAACAGTCAACACCAGATGTGCGAAATATTGTTGATGTTGTGGGGAACTCTATAAAGGTTACGAGTGACAGTGGCACTGTTCATACCTTCAGCTATGACCACTGCTTTAACTCTAGTGGTGTCCTTCATCCACATAATGCTTCTCAAGAAGATGTGTATGTTACCCTGGCAAAACCTCTATTGGAGAAGGCTTATGAAGGTTACAACACCTGTCTCTTTGCATATGGCCAGACAGGTTCTGGAAAGAGTTACACGTGAGTAGCATTTTGCAGAGGTTTTTAAATGATGTTTTCAAATAAGGTGTGTGATTATTATGCTAAATTTCCTCTAAGAATACTGATGAAAATATGGATTATGTCAATGCATTTTAAGAAAATAAATTGTAGTTCACAAGTTAAGTATTTAAAGATACTCATCAGTCATGCTGATGTAAAACTACTTGAAATAATTAGAATATTGGTAGTATAATGTTAGGTGAGGACTTGTACAATAAGTGGTGTGTTCCCATTGTAAGAAAGTTTCTGATATTTGTGACTAGCTGATCATTAAAGATGAATGTAAAAAGTTATTCAGCATTAAAAAAAGAAAAGATGTGTTAAACATTTTAGGAGCACTGGGATGATTCCTGATTATAAATGAAAGTAGTTAATGGACAATTTTAGTGTTATCATATTTTCTGGGGGGAGCCCCTACGGTTCCCCGGGTAATGTCGGACTTTGGCATCAGTCATGTGTACGGAATTCTTATGGGCCTACCGGGGACCACGAGCCAGAACCTGGCCCCCCTCAGAGGCAAGGGAAGCAATGGTCTATAGAAACCCCCGTGTGATTGGAAGCATTCTATGTCTGCCATCGACGGGTTAGGCACCCAGAAAGGTAGGCGTCCCAAAACAAATCCCTATTCTGGTGAAAATTGCAACCAAAAGGCAAACGAGTGGATAGAACTCTCCAAACAAAAACAAGCAAACTAGTATGATGTCATTCGTCGTCGCGCCGCTGTCTGCGCAGCTCCCCCTTCCCTGGGAGGGGGAAGAGGGAGCCCTAGACCCCCCTGCGCCGGCGATCCACACACCAGTTCTTGAGGCTGATGCTATCGGCTCGGTTGTGTGCTCTGGCTCCGGTCTTTTGCGGCACTGTGCCTTGCGTGTGGCTGCTGTTCTCCAGGGGTGCGAGAGCCAGGAGTTATTCCTCAGTACTCGGGCTGCATGCGCCTAGGGTTCCCTTCCCTAGGTGCCCTGTAAGTACTGCCTTTGGGGCTTGGGGGGCCACCTTCCATAAGTTCCTCGAGGTCTGCCTCTGTGTGCCTGTTTTACTGCTCGGTTTCTCGGCTGCTCTTTGGGTACTTGGGGGGGGTTTTGTCTCCGCTAGTTTACCTTAGGGTAAGAGGCAGTTTTCGCACTGGTAGGGGCGCAGGGGGCTGTGCAGCTAGTTGTCACCTATTACAGCGGCCGGCTCTGTGCCTTGGGGTACGCGTCCTCTTGCGGGGTTTTGTTTTTCTTTTTGCCTTGGTAGGGGGTTCTGCCCTCATTGCCACTGGTTTTTGACCTCGCCCTCATACTTGGTGGTGTCCCCTGCTGGGTCCCTGGGGTTCAGCTTTAGACAGTTTGTTTGGTAGTTTTGAGCGCCGGTTAGCAGTACCCTGCCTGGGTTTACTTGAGCGCGAGTCCTCTTCAAGTAAACGCTCAGGACCCTGGGAATCCCCTAGGGAACGTGTGGGTCCGATGGATGTGACCCCGGGGTCCCCCCTTGCTTCGTGCGAGGTTGAGGGTTGTTCGGTCCCCTTGTCACAGGGCGATCCTCACTGTTTTTGCCTTCGTCATGCAGCCTGTTGGGTTGGTGACTTTCGACCCCGAGTCCTGTGAGTACTGTTGCTTGCTGGTGACTCAATTTACCCAGTCTATGGATGATCTTCGGGTACAGGCTGCACAAGCGTTGCATTCTAGGTTTTGTTTGTTGCAGCGCGCTAGGTTGGTTGGTCACCCGGATGCCTCGTTTTGCTTATAGGTACCCGGACTTGGGGATGGGGGTCGCTTCGACCCTGGATCAGTCCGCACCTCCTGGTCCTTCCCCTCCCGTTGTACGTTCTGGTCCCCCCTCCCCTGCTTCCGGCCCCGAAACATCTGAGGGTTTCGGAGTTGGGGCAGGGGTTACTTGGTCTTGAGACTCAGGCAGCCTCGGGGATGCCCCTTCCAATGTGGCGACTGAGGCATTAGTTTCCTCCCCCGGCCGAAGCCTCTGCGTCTGACCAGTGGGCCTCTTTCTATCCGGCTTCTATGGCTGCACCGGCCTGGTAATTACCCAAGTGTAGTTACAGGATGCAACCCATCCTCCGAATTCACAGTACGATTTAATACCAAGTGTAATAAGTACACTATCTTACTGTCATAAACAGTGCATAATCGCACTTATGGGGCTGTTACATTTACCCAACTCCCTCCCCCGATTGAATTCTCCCCGTTTTCTGTTAAGACACTTAGAATTTTAGGATGAAGTTTTCAATTTCGATTTGCAATACACAAGTTTTAAATATCAGGAATTTCTTTTTCTGGTTTATTAAACAATATAGATTTTATACAAAATTTTAAAATATCCTGAGTTATTTTACAATTTATTGTTATATTTAAGTTTTGTTTTATTAGTTTTATAAAACTGTAATATCAATATAGCTATAGGTTAAGTGCTAATTGTAATTAAGAAGCAATAAAACTATTATCTTCAAAAACTAAGACGGTTAGGTGAGGTTGTGGTTTTCTATTCAGTTTTTCAGGTAAACTCAAATATTCACAATATATTTGACAGTACGATTTAATACTAAGTGAAAATAAGTACAATTCCTAACTGCTATGAATAGTACATAATTGCACTTATTTGTCTCCTTACATTTACCACCCCATTTTTGGAGGACGGGCTGCAGGATGCAGGACACCACGGGCTACGCTCGTGGTGTCCCGTCTACCCAGCACTGTCATATAACGCTTTGAAACTACTGACGGTCTTGGCATCCACCACCTTCTCGCCTAACTTGTTCCAACCGTCTACCACTCTGTTTGCGAAAGTGAATTTTCTTATTTTTCTTCGGCATCCGTGTTTAGCTAGTTTAAATCTATGACCTCTTGTTCTTAAAGTTCCAGGTCTCAGGAAATCTTCCCTATCGATTTTATCCATTCCTGTTACTATTTTGTATGTAGTGATCATATCGCCTCTTTTTCTTCCGTCTTCCAGTTTTGGCATATTTAATGCCTCTAACCTCTCTTTGTAGCTCTTGCCCTTCAGTTCTGGGAGCCACTTAGTAGCATGTCTGCACCTTTTCTAGTTTGTTGATGTGCTTCTTAAGATATGGGCACCACACAACCGCTGCATATTCTAGTTTTGGCCCAACAAAAGTCGTGAACAATTTCTTTAGTATATCGCCATCCATGTATTTAAAAGCAATTCTGAAGTTAGAAAGTGTGGCATAGGCTCCTCGCACAATATTCTTTATGTGGTCCTCAGGTGATAGTTTTCTATCTAGAACCACCCCTAGATCTCTCTCTTTATCAGAATTCTTTAAAGATTTCTCACATAATATATAGGTTGTGTGGGGTCTATGTTCTCCTATTCCACTTTCCATAACATGGCATTTATTAACATTAAATTCTATTTGCCAAGTGGTGCTTCATATACTTATTTTGTCCAGGTCATCTTGAAGGGCATGACAATCATCTAAGTTTCTTATCCTTCCTATTATCTTATCATCATCAGCAAACATGTTCATATAATTCTGTATACCAACTGGTAGATCATTTATGTACACAATAAACATCACTGGTTCAAGAACTGTGTGGCAATGAGTGTGCTCTAGCGGGTAACGCTTCGGCGAATTTAGGGGTCATTGCGGGTTATGCGCCCCCATGTTGTCTAATTTATATACATATGTCTGTAGGGAATTTTATTGCGATCACAGTGATACAAAAAAGAATGATGTCGAACAAGTTTGGACTTGATAAATCTGAAAAGAGAAGCGACATGTTTGCGCTGTTTGGAGTGCACGGCTAAAAAACAACTTAGTTTTTTATTTGGTGCCGGCATCGCGTTAGCTTTAGTGACATATTATACATATGTTCCTCTAGAACATTTCATTGAGAACACATTGATACCAAAACTAAACACGTACATCGAAAATTACGGTAAAAAACACAAAAAGAGTATAAACTTTTCAGTAGGGGTGTAGCCGATGTGCAGTTGGGCATGCAGTAGCGGGTAACCCTTTGGCAACTTCCCACGGTCTTGCGGGTGAGGCGTGCCCATGTTTTGTACTTTATTTTCATATGTCTGTGTACAGAATTGTATTGTGATCACAGTGATGCCAAAAATTAACAACGTAGAAAAATTCTGGGGTTGACAAACCTAAAAAGAGCGTACACATTTCATCACTGTTTGGCGCTCACGGCTAATGATTGCCATAGTTTTTTATTTGTGGCGGGTCTCACCTTGGCTTCAATGAAATTTTATATATATATTCCTCTAGAGCATTCTCTTGCAAACAAATTGATACCAAATTTAAATACATACATGGAAAACAAAGGTCAGCAGACCGAAAAAGAGTATAAACATTTCAGTGTTGCCACGCGGTCGCCCGAAATGCTCGGCGCACAAGGGGAAAGTTAAAGAATCTTCTGCCGGGAGCGCAATAGTGTTAATGGTCAAACTTCCTTACAAAATTTTATTTATATTTTTCCCCCATGATCAGGAAAAGCATTTTAACAATATTTAAAGCAACACAAATTTTTAGCAATTAATTTTTTCCCCGTGCACCACAGCATTGTAGGGAACAATAGCCGCACAACCCAGGGGTTAATACTATATTTTACTATACTGTACAGTATTTAGTTTATATACTACAGTATATAAAATATAGAATACAGTGGCACCTCGACTTACGATTGCCCCTACTTACGATAATTTGAAGTTACGATGTAAATTTCATCGAAAAATGCGACTCGACATCCGATGGTGTCGTCGACTTACGATATTTGTTGGTACACGTTCAGGTCAACCGAGCGCATGGTTCCCGGTCACGCGGCCGACCTGCCTCAGTTTACTACAGCTGCCCGCTTCGTGACGATTGCGCCTATAAGAAATTTCGCTTTTGTGGTGATCTTTTGCATTTTGAACATAAAGTTATTATTATATATCACGCCATGAGTCCCAGGAAAGTCAGTGGTAAGGGTCAACATATGAGATCCCATGTAAGGATGACCAGAGCAGAAACAAGA